ATGTAAACCTACTGAGAAAATGCCTCTCACGTATTGTTAGAATAAATAATGAAACCAAACACTTTCATATCCAGCACAAAACAACAATGAATTGATTTATTCAGACATGATCAGAGAAAGAAAGAACATTCTGGTTTTAATGGACAAAGGAAAGGGAAAAGAAACCCAAACTCTGCAGGTACTGGTGACACTCTGGCAAGTTGTCCTTTGGGATGTAATTTAAGAAATAACTGGCCCTTGCATTAGGGAGAAATAGGACTGCATAGGCTTTTGTGCAGGAGAACTGCCCAGGTATGGGGCTGCATGGAGGCTCAGCCAGGTAGCTAGCTGGCTGCTGCAGCCTTGGCGTGGCTCCCTTCTGGCCCAGAAGACACTAAGAACACTGCTGGGTGAGCTGCCATGAGGTGGTGATGGATCCGTCTGTGGCCTGATTCTTGAGGAGCCATGGATTCACTGCAGCGTGCTGTGGCCATATGTAAGCCCAGGCCACACGTGAGGTTCTCCTAGGAGGAGGAAGGAGAAGCCACATGACATAGCTTATACATATTTTATTGTAGCAATCATATTTGAATGAGCCAGAGTCCGGGCTTTCCCAGACAGCATGGTCTGCAAGTTAAGAGACACTGTACCCTGATGGCAGGGCTATGGGATTTGGGGAAACAATGAAGGGTTGACCGGCTCCTGAAGTTGAGCGACTACATGGTCTTCACCTCCTGGAGGGCTCAGAAATGAAAGGAGAGAATTCTGGAGCCACCACATGGGATGGATGGAACCTTCGAGGTCTTGTTCAACCTTCTAGGGTTTGCAGTTCCCCTGCAACAGCTATGCCAAATGATTACTCTGACTGAACCCTTCTAGTGGCAGGAAATTCACTTCTCTGGGGCATCTCACAAAGCTAGATAACTTTTCCAATTAATAGTCCTTCCCAAGAGTCCCATTCCAACCTTTGTATGCTGGTTCAACCATCACATTTTCACTCTCAAGAACTTTGTGGCTGTCAAGGTGTGTGAGAGGTGTGTGAGCATTGGACCTTTCCATACTGGGAGGGTTCCTATAGTTTTGGGGGGGTCCTTTCTATAATTTAGGGACCTTCTTTTTCCGTGGGTCCTTTCATCTTTTCCACGTATACTTATCCAAAAATTGTCCTCAACCATGACTGCACATTAGAATCAACTAGAAAATTAGAAGAAAAAAAATCTTAATGCCAGACCTCACCAAAGCATCCTGTCTGGGGTTTGAACCAAAGCACTGGTATTTTTAAAGTTCCCCAGATGATTCCACTGTGTTAAGTTTGAGAACCACTTGTTCTATTCACAGAATCTGGTTAACCTCTTTAAAAGGTCATGCTGTAGAATAAAGCATCCCAGATTTGAAGCCTGACTCTCTCATTTGGGTAGCTCTTTGTGTTGTTGTGTTCTCATGTGTTCTTTGGGGATAACAGTAGTCCTGTCTGAAAAGAGTTGTCAAAAGAACTGCCTGAGGACAAGCTAAGTCTAGAGGGTCTCTGGCATGTAATACGTGCTTTATAAAGTTTGACTCAGGGCCTAGGACAGGGCCTACCCAATGTTAATGCAACATTTGTGGTCTTACCACAAGCCAAGCCTTAGCCTACACAATTTACATGTACTGGTTAACGCACTTTGTTGCCGCGAAGACATAAGCAAAATGTGTCTTCAGGACATTTTACCTGGCAGGGCATATTGTTCCAGATTATCTATTTAATGTACATCTCAGTGAAAAACCTGTATCTCTTGTCATCCCATATATCTTCTTGCTTTCCACCAAAATCCCTCCTAAAGCTCTTCTATGAAAATTCTATACACTTTCAAAACTAATTTCTGAGCTCAATGGTCAGTCAACCTTTTCTTGTCCATTGTCAAGCCCAATGTTTGTTAATGAGCTAGGCATATAACAGAGGCCCAGTAAATTCTTTGTGGAATGATGAAATTGACCCTGTAATAACTATGCTAATATTTTTAGGCAAAAGAAAGGGAGGAAGACTGAATTCCCGTGAATGGTGAGGTAGTGGGGATGCCTACTTATGTTCTAGGCACTTTTCATGCATCGTTAATTTTCACAACTGTAGGAGATGAATGTTCAGGTAATCTTTTGCTGTGTAACAAAGCACGCCAGGACTAAGTCTCTTAAGGTAACAATTCTTTTGTTTGTGAATTTGTAATTAGGTGGGAGTGCAACAGGGATAGCTCCCTGCTCCCAAGACAGCTCAACAGAGGACGGTAGTATCCACTTTTTCTTTCTTTCTTTTTTTTTTTTTTTAAGATTTTATTTATTTGATAGAGATCACAAGTAGATGGAGAGCAAGCAGAGAGGGCGGGGGGAAGCATGCTCCCCGCCGAGCAGAGAGCCCGATGTGGGGCTCGATCCCAGGACCCTGGGATCATGACCTGAGCCGAAGGCAGAGGCTCTAACCCACTGAGCCACCCAGGCGCCCCTAGTATCCACTTTCAAGACCGCTCACTCCAGCCATTATGGAACAACTTCGGTAGCTTAGGGTCCCCACTTGCAACCCCAGGTTGGCTCTGGGTTGGATGGATTGGAATAGGAAACTTGCCAGGAGAATGCAGCTCTCTATCTTAGCCTCTCTACTCCCCATTCTAAGGGGAGCTGTGTCTGTGCTTGGGGAGAAGCCAAGCGAAGCAAAAGATTTCAACAGAGAACGGAGGAAACACACCCACTGAGGTTCTCATAGCAACACAATCACGCACAGGCAGCAGCCTATTTCGGTGGGAGCTTGTCTCAGCTCCCCTCCTCCATGGTTAGTCACAGAATGGATGCACTGCACAGGCAGAAACAGTGTGGGGTGGGGTAGGGGGGGAGAGTGGTGTACTGAAAGTCAAGAAGCCGGGTAGCTGCTCTCAGATGTTCCCTCAGCTGACCAAAGGAACATGGACAAATGTCGTCCTTTCTCTGATCTCCGGGTCATTATTTATAAAATGAGAGGACGAAATGCCGTGAGGACCTTTCCTTTCTGATTTTCATTGATTGTATGAATACTGAGGCTCTCTTGGTAGGGGATGAGATGTCTCAATCTTTTGTATTTCTGAGAAAGATGCTAAGGGAAATTTGGGTTCAAGAGGGTAAAAGTCATTCTTCAGATTCATCACATTCATCCCCCTGTAACTTTCTGCATGTTGGCAGGATGTGAACGGGAAAGAGGATGACCACATGTTGCAAAAGATTCTGCTCATTCACTCCAACGCTAGTCAAGGTCTGTGGTCTGAGAAAGGAAAAGGTTAAGGAGTTAGGCTCATTCTTTCATTTATATTCACTCCTTCTACAACACACACACACACACACACACACACACACACACACACCCCACACTCCCAGGAGCCCATTAACTCAAGCCTATTGCCCATTGTCTCGTCGCTCTTTTTCCTCTCCACTCCCACTTCTCTCCCTCCTCCACTTATTGCAATGAATCCTCTCTTTCCCCTAGGATCAGGTGATGGAGGCATCTTTAGATTCTGGCCCATTTCTTCAATGGACTCTGAGGTTAGTTGAGGACAACCAGGCTCCCATTTCCTGGCTGTCAAAGGTGATGATAAAAACAAATAGGGCATGCATGCGGGACTGATCTCCCTATGTAAGTACAGGGTTGAAGTGAAGAGAGCCAGGGGGCTCAGGAACGTCTTTCAGGTTCCTGTCCTTGACTTTCGGGTTGAAAGCTTGAAAGTGCAGCTGTCTTTGAAGAAGTCCAGCCTGACTGGCCTGTTGCAAAGGGAGAGACAGAGTGCCTCCCCCTTGTTCTATTTCCCACCCGCCTGACAGATGGCCAGTAAGACAGAGAAAAAGAAGCTCTCAAAGTGAAGACAAGAATGCATTGTATAAAAATTCACACCCCCTGCTGCCGCCCAAACTCCCTTAAAAAAGGATCAAGAGAATCCTAATGGGTATGTGACATCCTCCCTCTCTCCCATAAAAGGGACTTCAAAATCTGGTGACGATGGGGGAGGGGTGAAGAGGGAAAAGAGAAATGTGTGGGCAGGGGGCTGCTAGGGAAGACTGAGGTAGGGGGAACAGGACTGCAGGCTCATCCATTTGACTTTCTCCTACCGTCTTTCCCAAACCACCTCTGGCTGAACCTCTGGCCCAACCTCTCAGCCTGACAGAGGCTTGGAGCTCTGAGTGCCTGGACCGGGTCAGTGGGAGAAAAGGAGAGATGATCACACACTTAGTCCTAGAGTTGAAGGAGTTAAAGACCCTTCCTCACCCAGACACCCACCCCTTCGCTCCCGAAACCGTAATTCGCCAAGTAAGGAACCCAGAACTGACGGAGGAGCTGGGGAGTTGGGGGTGGGGTGGGGTGGGGGCGAGGTAACTATGGCCCAATCTTGCCCAGAGCTGGTCCTCGGTGGGAGGACGAACACCCGGGTCTAAGAAACTGCAAGAGCCCAGCTCCGGCGCCTGCTTTCTCCGAGCCTCCCGCGTGCCCCTGCAGCGTCCGCACGGCCCTTGCCCTCGCTCAAGTTGTCCACAGCGCCCGGGAGTGGAGGCGGCCAGGAGACCCCTGGAGCCGGTGGGGAGGCGGCGGGCCCGGGGGCGCTGGGGGCCCTCGGTCTGCGCCCAGCCGCCGCCCGCTCTACCGAACCTCCTACCCCGCCCCCACTCACCCGGCTCAGCCCCTAGGAGAGACGCGCAGGAAGCGTGTTGCTTCGCCCAGCCGATCTGCAGAAGTTGAGAGGAGTTGGTGGCTGCCTCCGGCCGGCCGGACTTTGAGATCAGCCCGGAGAGGAGACGCCGCCGCTGCCGCGGAGCCTTCGGGGCTGCCTCCCTCCAGCTTAGCCCGCAGCGCGGGTGGAGAGGGGCGGGGAGGGGGTCGGGTGCGCGAGAAGAACTTGAAACTGTGTGAAGGAATCCGAAGCAGATGAGAAGGGAGGAAAATAAAACAAAGTGGAGACTGCAGAAAAGACTCAACCGTAGTTGATTGTATAGGCTGACGCTCCAGCAGAGGGGCTGGGTTGGTTTTTTTTTTTTTTTTTTTTTTTTTCCTCCCATTCTCTCTCTCTCTCTCTTTTAAAGCTACACCAGCTCTCTCTTTCTCTACTATCTCTGTATCACCAAACCCTTGCTGGCTCTTATGGGCATGAAACACTCCTCCCGCTGCCTGCTCCTAAGGAGGAAAATGGCGGAGAACGCTGCCGAGAACACCGAGGTAAGGAGGCGAGAGGGCCGGGGCTCTCGGCGACCCCGTCAGCCCACCCCGGACCACCGCGCCGCCGCCGCTGCCGCTACCGCCGCTGCCGCCGCCGCCGCCGCTGCTCTGCACCTAGTGCCAAACTTTCCCCGGCTCCATCCCGCTTGCTTCTGCCGGCCGTGTGTGTGTGTGTGTGTGTGTGTGTGTGTGTGTGTGTGTGTGTTGGGGGAAAGACAGTGCATGTCTCAGGTCCCCTCCCTCTTGAAAATGCAAAAGAGTCGCTCTCACCCCATCTCCCTCTCCTGCCACCCGCTGCTCGCTTCTCTTTCCCCAAGTCCCAAACCCTGGGCAGCAGCGCTCCCCTGCCCTCTCCTCTGGGCTGCATTAGGGGTCCAGAGTCCCGGCTTTGTGCAAAGCTGGGGTAGGTGATCCTGGGGCCACGTTTGCTCCCTGCAGTGCCTTGACAACATCTCCAGACGCTGCCTCAGCTTTACCCTTCAAGCTCGTGTCAGTCCCCAGCTCTCGGTCCCCGCAGCACCGCGGGGGCCCCACTCCGGGCCGTTGGGGGGTTGTGGGGGGGCAAACCGCGCCGGTGGTGGGACCTGGGCACCACCAACAGACCCTCCCGCCCAGATCCGGGCCCGGGAGAGGTCTGCAGTCCTCGAACGTTTGAGCCGCCTCGCGGGCGCTAAACCCGGGTAGGGAGCACTGGCCGCTGCCACCTTCAGAACCAGGGACAGCGCCCGCTCCTGCCGCAGCCGAGCCCGCGCGGGGTGGGGGCTCCGCGCCGCACGCTGCGGCGACAAATGGGTCTGCAGCCTCTGGTCCCGCAGCAGCTTTGGAAGAGGTCGCTCTGGCTCCGCAAATTGCGTTCTTGCCCCTCGCCTTCGGCAGCCTAATAACTGCCCTTTCTCTGCTCTCGAGTTGGCCGTGAGCCTCTAAGAGCCCTGCCGGGTTTTGCGTCCCGAGACTGGAGGCTATGTTGCCTAGCCTCGCACTGACCCTGCTGTCGATACAACTGGACTAGTCCATCGGCTCTAGGCACCTGTAGTCACGAAGGGGATCAGCGTGGGCAGCCCCCTTACCTTCCTGGAGAAACGGTGCGCCGAGGTGGGGGCGGAGTGGGGTATGTGTGTGAAGATCATCCCTTACTCGGTGGCAGGAAAAAGACAAGAGAGCAAACTCCCGGGCTCTATTAATAGCCGGGTGTCTGGTGGGGCTGCCGTACATTTCACATATGGTTACCCATATGCAGCGTGGGGCGGGGATGGAGGTGTGGCACGGGGATTGTCCCTCTGTCTTGCTGGAATGCAAATGAGACCCTTCTGATCTTCTTCAGTAAGGTCTTAACTGCAGCTAACCCTTACCCCACAGCATAGGCAGCAAATCTTTTGCAATCCTCGTTCTCTGAGAGGCTAGAAGCAGCATGCATCTGGCAATTGTTGATTTCGAAAAACAAACACGCTGTGGGGCTTGAAAACAGTAGGGCACTCAGTAGCTAACGCTGTCTCCTTGAGTTAGGGCAAAGCCAGCATGCCTACCATCCCACGGACACTTCCTCTTCCCAGCCAGCAAAGATGCCTAGGCTCACAGCAGAGAGTTAGCCTTACCAATCCCCTTGCACTCCTCCCTCTGATCGCCCACCCTCGGAAGAGGTTGCTAAAAATAGCTCAGAGTCAAGGCTGCACTTCTGTAAAGTGTTGGACCAGTGGGCATGTAACAGTCCCTGCAGCCAGGTGGCTGGAACAGCTTTCTCCTGCTCTTCCCTCCCCCATCTCGGTTTCTTAAAAAAAAAAAAAAAAGTTTTCACGGGTCTCTAAGGCCCTGCACCCCGGCTGTTGTGCTTGGTCTGGGGTGCAGACCCCTGCCAGATTCTGCAGTGTGCAGTAGCGGCTGCTGAGCTCCCCACCTTGGCCAGGGTTAAAGGCGTCCAGAGCAGGCAGAGTGATGCGCGCCAGGCTATTTTTACTTGCTTCCCCCGCGGCTCCAAGCTCCCCCTTCTCAGCAGTTGCACATGCCAGCTCTGCTCAAGGCATCAATGAAAACAGCAGTAGAGGCGGCCGAGTTCCTGGGAGGAAAAAAAAAAAAATTAAAACACGTTGCATGCCTGGCACAAAGGTGGGGGTGGGGAGGGAGAGACCCGGCGGGGGCTCTTTGGAGAGAAGTGAGTCTGGGGGTTCAGTTCTTAGCAACTTCCCTTGAGAAGGAGAGGATTCAGACTTGGTCAAACGTGCCCAGTGGAGGCATCCAGGCGCGTGACAATCACTTGGTTTTCCTCCAGGAACTGGCTGTTTTTGGAATACACCAAGACTAGAGCAGTATTTCCAAAAGTGGAGGTATTATGGGTTTGCCTGCATTATGGTGAGAGAGAGAGAGAGAGGCAAGGACACCTGTGTGTGTGTGTGTGTGTGTGAGCGCACGTGTGTGCGCCCAGGGAATGCTGATGGTGGTGGTGGTCCTTGTTGCCAACTCAATGTCTTTATCAGACACTGTACTAGGAATAATAGTTACTTTAGAATGAAAGATGAAGCCAACCAGGTCCCGGCCCATAAGGAGCTCGCAGTCTGGTGGACCACAGTGCCCAATAATTCGGATAATTCTGTAGCGCATTTTCCTGCCTTTTGTTAGTGTTGTTTGCAAGCACTTTATCTCCTTTCCTCTTACAATAATCCTGTGAGGTAAGCAAAGGTTAGTATTCATTTCATGTCCGCATATTATAAATGAGGACACTGGGGCTGGGAGGTCAAGCAGTTTCTGAGAGTCACCTGATGGGCCAGGACAGCCTTGGGACACAGACTGCCGCCACTTCTGACTCATTGCCCTTTGCCCTACACTTGCTACTTTAAAAAAGATGGCATGTGTGAATAGAGTGGGTGAGGAGTGGGGAGGACAGACATACTTTGGAAGGGAGAGATGCAATGTTGGGGGTAGGCAAGGACGATGAGAGAAAGCATTTTTTTTTTCACAAGGTAAAGATAGGCAGTGGGAGAGGAGGGAGAAAGTGAAGAATAAAGAATAAAGCTACTTATATTGTGAGCAAAGCCTCCCTCATTAAGTGAAGTTCAGGGCTGGGACAGTGGGAACATTAAGGGCGCAGGCTTGGTGGGCACAGTATGTTCTGGGTACACTCTTGAACTACTTTGACTTCAGTCCCCCCACGGGTTCCCCTTATGGTACAGACTAAGGAAATGCTCTGACAGCTCCTGGCACAGGATATATACAAAGCAGTGTTAGATCCATTGATGACGCTTTATCAGGTTCCTTGATATGTTTCTCTTCCTCAGCTAAAGGTATTATCACCTCTGCTCCCTACACATCATCAGAAACTTTCTGACATGGCCTTCTGAAAGGTCTGCAAACCTCTAGTCTGACTGTTCCATTCTACGGTTTTATTCAGCTATCAGTGCCCAAGGCCCGTCATCTGCACTTTTGCCTTTACCACAGCAGTAGTGTATCAGCCACAGGTCCTCTTCTCTAAACCCGCCCCATTATCACTCAGAAGACAAATATGCTCAGGATCACACATCTCTTTAAAAACTTGCCATGTTGTCCTACTGCATACAGTATACAAGATAAAGCCCCGTTTCCCTAGAATAGTGTACAAAGTCCTTTAATATCTCCCCAGTGCAATTCGCTGAATAGACCACTTCCTGCCCAAATGCTTTTGTGTGTACTGGTCCCTCTGCCTGGGCTGCCCTTTCCCCTTCTTCTCTGGAGAAAAAAAAAAAAAAAAGTCTTCCTTAACCGGCAACACTCAACTCAAAGGTCATTTCCTCTGGGCAACCTTCTGGGATCTCCCCTCATGGGGAGTGAGTACTCATTCTCTTTCTTCTGTGGTCTTACCACATGTCTCATTTTTCCCATTGTAAGCTGATTGGCTTTTTATATGTCTATTTCTTCAGTTAGATAATGAACTTTTTTTTTTTTTTTTTTTTTTGGTATACGCTGTTCCTAACACTGTGCCTGACACACAGTAAATAATAAATGGTGATAAATACTGACTAAACTGATTCTTATGATTATGCTCAAGCAAGCTCATGAGCCTTCTGGGTGTTAGTTACTCATGACTTTCTGAAAATTGGGCTTTCTATCTCCTACCCCTTTGCTGCACTTCTGCTCAGTTGTGGACATTTAAAACTCGAAATGATTAAAGATTCTGGGAATCAAGTTGCTGTAGCAACTCGAAACATGAGTAACTTTTGGATATTCATGTACCTATTCAACATTCTGTAATGACTGACTCTTACTATGGGGTGTTCATCTGAATAGCAGATAAATTGATGAATCACAATGCCCAATTACGAACCATGGGGGAGTAATGGACTTTTCTGAGCTGCTGCTTGCTTTGCTGATTCTTGGTGAAAGCCTGATGCATTATTTATGGTGATGACCCCCTGATTGGGGTTTTAGCACCTCAGAGGAGAGCCCCCAGGGGTGAGAAAATAGTTTTAGCAAAGGAATCATTTTGGAGACTTTTTTTTTTTTTAATGTTCTATTGACTTACTGACCCAGGGAGAAAGAATAATTATGGGTTGGGGAAAATCTTACAAGGGGACAATAGGGTTAGGGTACCAGTGAGTGCTGCTCTATGAGTTGTAGGGAGCAGAGAGCTGACTTCTGACATGGTGTATGTTGGTGGCTGTGGCTAATGGATTCCTCTCCTCTGGAAGTTCTTTTCAGCTGAAGGGTGTGGTTCTATAGTGTGAAGATCAGTGATTTGAGGAGGAAGAGAACAAAAGATATCAGGATACAGGCCCACTTCTCTGAGGATGGTCTGCATCCATGTCTCTTTCCAAAGAGCATGGGAGCTAACTATCTCAGCTCTAGAGTCAGACTGCTTGACTTAAAATCCAGCTCGGAACTCAGTAGATGTGGTGTTAGGTTGAGTATTACTTAATCTCTCTGGGCCTCATAAAATTGTTGTGATGATTAAATGAGTTAATTCATGCAAAGGGTTTAGAATATGGCGAGTGCTCAATAAATGTTTATGATTATTATCCTGCTAGCTTTTAGGAGTC